TAGTTTGCACTGTAGCAGAGTTGCAGGTGGGAATTGAGGTAAGACTTTCATAAGAGGAGACCCTGACCTTAATCTTAAGAGGAAACGGTGTGAATGGAAGAAGAACTGCAACCGCATACGAAATGCCAATGAGAATTTTGGCACAGGCGCTATTATAGCAGGGCATTGGGTGCAGTTTTTTCTGCATGCCTCTCCAAGGCTAAACTTCAGCTAAACTTCACCTTGTATCCTTGAATGTACCTTGGTGTTCTTTTGGAAATAATGGGCGTTGAGACATTTCTTGGAGAATGGCAAAGGCTGTATGCATTGATTAGATTTTTGTATATTAGGAGTAATGAAGAGACTTCTCGCAATTATAAGTTCTACTGCTGCACTCCGAAAAGCAATGGTTATTCAAGAACCATGTGAAAATGGGTTCCACTCTCAAATTAGGGGATAGATGGATAACGGTGTTATGACCTTGTCACTATATGTACTAATCTACCTAACTAATTACCGCTCTGCATTAACAATTTTAATGATTCTATCAAAATTATTAGCAGTAGGTTTCCTCCTCCATCTGTACTATTTAGCCAAATTTCCATTTAGCTACGAATGAAGTACATGTTTTTGCCAGTATTGGTTGCATTACTCGGTACAGTTGAAGGGATGCAATGAATATTTAATGAAGTTTGCGAAACAAATTTGTATTTCATGTATGTTTACATACATTGTTAAGAAACTCTGGCTCAAGAAGTTTAATATAATCCAGGTATTATTTTGCCACATAGTATCTATTATTTAGATGATGTGTTATAGTTGTTGAATACTGTTATTATGCAGCGTATCGTGCTTATTTCATGGTTAAATTTAATAAATGAAGGTAATCTCAAAAAGCTATATATGTACAGAGAGGGCAAGAAGCAAGATTGAAGTAAATCGTAACCCCTAACATAACTCTTAGTGTTAACTGCTGGTTCCATGTAGAACTCTTTCTTTTGGCCAATATAGTACCACACAAAAGAGTGCTGTACAAAGTGAAATCAATATTTTCTATTTATGTAATTTATGGACCAGATATGTAATGTTAATAATAGGACTCTCCCCCTTAATGGTTCCTTGAAATGATAGGGGGGTCAGAGTCTATACTGCTGTAAAAATCTATTGGCTAGTGATTTGCTTTTCTTCCAGTATTTAGTACATGGTTGTCGCAGTTCTGTTCATGCTTAGGTTTTTTTTTATGCTTGAGAAGGGGAACCTTTTATGGCGCTTTATGCAAATAGGAAGGCAGTGGTTCAATTCTTAATTGGTCTATGCTTGCATTTTGTAACATAGTTTGGTATTGTTTCAGTACCATATCTTAGTTCTTGCTGTTGATAGCTCTTGAAATTCCATAGCTGATCTTCTCAGTAGGTTTTTTTGTCTTTGCTATGTAATTCAGGTGAGTTTTCATGCTTTTCAGTACAAGGGCTAATTATAGGTGAAGTTGATGAAATGAAAGGACTCCATTGAAGACTACAGAGCAATAGGTGCAATGAAGTGAGGAGCTGAATCAGGGAGGTGGTGGTGTTGATGTGTGAGTGGTAGGACGGTTATAGTCACCACAGGTTCGGTTTTTATGGTGTCACAGGGATACACCTCGAAAATTGTGTTTAATTTGATGTGATTAGAACACCATGTGAAACTCTAAGTAAATGCGAGCTTAAGTAAAAGTTCTTCTCTCATATTTGTATATATATATTTTCTCCCCTGTAAATGATTCTGAGTTGAATCTCTGTTATGTCAGTATGGACCATACTCTTGAGGTTGATGTGAAAGTTGTAAAACTCGTAATCATTTTCACATACATTTCGCGTTTATGCAATTTTTGTTTTGGTGCAGCAACAACAGGGGCTAGTTGGATGCTTTGATTGTCCTTGGACTCGGTTATTAAAAAGCACTTACATTTCTTTGGTAGTCGTGCCCCACTTGGTTTATACGTTTATTGCAAGAATTATGTCCTATTTATGGATGACAAAACATCTTCCTTTGTATTATACTCCCTTTAATAGCAGTGATCGGTATGTTCTGTCTGTGCTGTTTATCATTCTTATTGGAACACTTGAATCCTGAGAGGTGGTGCAGCTTGAGAATAGCGTTAGTCTATGCTGTACCCACGGAGGGTGCAAGTCATTTTCTTGTTGGTGCCACAGACATCACTTATGAGGATAACTTCTTTTGATTTTGCCTGTATCTGGATGTATTAAAGAAGCTTTTTTTTCTTGGCTTGGAAGTTTGTGCCAGTGTTGCACTGTACATGCTGTTCTTTGGTTACATTTTGCTATAATAGGCTATAAACCCTGTCTACATGTATGATATAGGTTTGGATACTTGCAGAACACATGAATATGTTTGTTATGTACGAGTTAATATCTTTTGGTGGAGAATTCAGGTGCCGGGCCAGTGAAAAGTGCAGTATCACTTTCAGCATAAAGATAATATCAACACTCATCATATTTAGCCGAGCGTTTCTGATGATGGGGAATGTGTATATTTATATCCGTACAAACACTACATGTTTGGCTGCATTGCCTAGGAGCACCACATGCGAGGTATGTCCAAAGGTTTGTAGACACCTGCTCCTCATACTTTTCTTCTGAAAATGAAGGGATTAAAAGGAAATTCCACAGATTCTGAATAATTTAGTTGTTTAGATGTCAGTACAATCATTCAGAGTGGTTGGATGTGAAACGGGGCATTGTAGAGAAACTTATGGACTCTTATTTGTTTACACTGGGTTGATGGTAACCATGTGTTGATCTACAATGCAAATATTTGCTATCCTCAATGGCTTGTGAACTTCTACACATGTTCTGAGTAATTTGCCTCACAAGAGCCTACATGTGTCTCTTCGCCATGAATGGCTTTTTTAAAATATGTTTTAGGCCAAAACCTCATCTTGAAATCATCGTAAAACAGTGTCTCAGGCATCAGAAAACATACCCATAAGCATTTCATGTAATAGCATTCAGTAAGAGCTTTCAGAGGCATTAAAGCAAACAAAGGTTTGCCATTTTGAATGAAGAACATGCCATTTATGTAAGTTGTGTAGACTGTGGATGAGTTTTGCGTTTTGGAAAGCGGAGGGTCTGCTGTCAGCAGAGGATTCTGGGAGAGAATACCTCCACTCCCCCAAAACGCCCCCAAAACACAGAACAGCAGCAGTTCAGTCGTTATTGGGCCAACCCACAGATGCGGTGTTTAATTTTTATTGTGGATACATTACAACTGAAATATAAAAGTCACATTATTCATGTTCAGAGTCCTTTCTTTAGTATCTTTTAAATGGTAAGTAAAAGGTTAATTACGTATGTAAATTATTGTTGGCTAAAAAGACAGTCAGCTTTCATTTATTCTTGTCTGAAATTGATAGAACGTTGATTTCTGTGAACTGTCATAACATATGAGGGTTGAACAACCGTCTACAAATTACGTTGCAAGTGGCAATCATCGGGGTTCAAGTGCTATGACGGAGCCATTAGGACACACACGACGGGCAAAGTTTTTAGAATGGCATCTATTTTTTACTGATGTGGGGTCTCAAAAGATGTCTGCCAAATTTTGTACACATTGCCCTTATGACCTTGAGATGGTGAGCAACAATTTTTAAACCAAAAAAAAAATCAAAATATATATATATAAATATTTGCATAGTTGTTGAATGCAGTGAACTAAATAATTCCACTACAATTCCTCTTTTTATGTTAAAATCACCTTTTTTTTCTAGGAATGATACCACCTGACTTGCTACAGAGGATTGGTTTCAGAATTTGTAACCTTTTCACTACTTTATGTCTGTAAACACTTCAGACGTCTGGTTCCTATCACCACCACTGAACAATTCTCACTTGCTTAGTTTGTTTAGGACAGTGCATTTCACCTCAAACCACTCTGAATGACCGTTTGTTGTGATTAAATTAACTGAAATTTTTGACAAATCAGTGGAATTGCCCTTTAATAGGGCGTACTAAAACCCCACTCCAACTCATCACAGAGGTACCTGAAGGAGCTCCAACACTCCAGCAATCACAGTTTTACTGCTCCACAGCCCAGTGCTGGGGGCTTCATACCCCTGTTGCTGTTGCTTGGCATTAAACATGGTGACCTTAGGCTCATGTGCGGCTGCTCCTGAGCGTCTCGTTCTATTGGCAGTGCTTTTCTATGGAGATTATAAGCTGTGTGTGCAATTAAATGCCTGTGTCAGTAATGAGTGCACCTTAAAGTAGCTGAATTCACTAATTAGAAGGCATGTCTGCATCCTTTTGGTCATGGTGTACCAGCTCCTGTAATTTCCAGTTAGCAGTAAAACACTACCAGAGTCCAGTGTCCCAATGTCATGTATTCCAGAAATGAACTACAGAACGTTAAGCTTTAATCACTGATCTGCTTTCCAGGGGAGCTTGTCCAGCTCCTGAATTCTTGATGGTTAGTTTTTGTTCTCCCTGGGTCAGTCTGCTGAACCCGCTGAGATCCTACCACTTTTCTGTTTGTTCAAGCTTGTTCCTGGTACTTAGAGATCTGAACACTAATTAATGGAAAAATGCTTTTGCTTGGTCCACACTGATGTGATGGATATATAAAACATGAAGCTACTTTTTCTTTTCTTCTAAATGCTGATACATTACCTGAACACTTGTATGTAGGACCACTTAATTATAAAGGGTTTTTTTGTAGTGGTGTATAAAATCAAAGTAATTTTGTTTTCTTTTGCTCTTTTTTTTAAGCATACCAAATGTAAATGATGTACTATAATGTGTGCCAATTCCCTTTCTTTGTAGAGCCAGACTCTTTTAACAAGTGCCAATATTGTGTAAAATCATAAAAAAGGACTTGGGTCTCTGTATTTTATGGTTCTGTTTTTAAGCAAGCCAACACCAAGTATGTGATTAAGTTAAAAAAAAATAAAAAAAAAGACGGTTTTGTTCTTTATTTAAGGCTAAAGATGATAAACTGCTGTTTTTAAATGAAATGACATCCTAAATGCATGTATTAGTTTTGCTGGGGCGGGTCGGGTGGCCTAACTGTTGATCATTTACAGTATTTTAGCCATATTTCTCTTTTGTATGTTTTCATTTCAACCACTGTTGCCTGAACCTCATTCAAACATGAAAACGATTTTCATAACCTTCTCCTTGAAAGAAAAGTTATCCGTTTTAAATTGGAATAAACTTTGTTCCTATATTTTATGTGTCTTGTCTTTTTTTATTAAAGCAACTAAGAGATATGCAACATCTAAATCCACTTAAAGAGCTCATATAATAAAACAAATTTTTCAAAATATTGACTTAATATCTCAATTACGAAGCCCTGCTGGTGACATCCCGTATGAATAATAATAATGTGAAATAGTAAGGCATCGGAATGAGAAGGCGTAGCCATGAGATGATGCCTTACTAAATCGTGGCCACGCGTTAGGATCTCATTCCCACGCCTTACTAAGACATGGCCATGCATTATATTTGATATATATTTGACAATCATTATTTTGAGATACTAGGTCAATATTTTGAAAAGGTTTTTTCAAAGGGGGCCAGAATGAACACTATCAAAATACCTGAGGGCCAGTCATTCTTTGTTAAAATATTCATCAATGATTTTAAATATTCAGTATTCAATGTATCATTACACCTACAGGAGCTTTTTTGACATCCCATTCTAAATTCATGGGCATTAATATGGAGTTGGTCCATCCTTTGCAGCTACAACAGCTTCCACTCTTCTGAAAAGCTTTCTACAAGATTTTGGAATGTGTCTGTGGGAATTTTTCACTGGAACTAAGGGGCCTAGGCCAAGCCCTGAAAAACAACCCCATAGCGTTATCCCCCCTCCACCAAACTTTACAGGTGGTGCAATGCAGTAAGTCAGGTAACGTCTTGGCATTCGCCAAACCCAGATTTGTCCATCAGACTGCCAGATAGAGAAGCGTGATTCATCACTCCACAGAATACGTTTCCACTGCTCCAGAGTCCAGTGGCGGTGTGCTTTGCACCACTCCCCATCCCATTTGACATTGTGCATTTTGATCTTAGGCTCGCGTGTAGCTGTTCGGCCATGGAAACCCATTTCGTGAAGCTCCTAACATGCAGTTCTTTTGCTGATGTTGCTTCCAGAGGCAGTTTGGAACTCTTCACTGAGTGATTCAACAGAGGATAGGCACTGTGTGCTTCAGCATTAGGCAGCCCCACTCTGTGAGTTTGCGTGGTCTGCCACTTTGTGGTTAAGCTGTTGTTGCTCTGAGGTGCTTCCATTTCATAATAATAGCACTTACAGTTGGCCATGGCAGATCTAACAGGACTGAAAATTTACAAACTGACTTGTGGCAGAGGTGGCATCCTATGACAACGTCATTTTTAAGGTCACTGAGCTCATCACTATGACCCGTTCTACTGCCAGTGTTCGTCTATCAAGGCTATGTGCTTAGTTTTATCCACCTATTAGCAATGGGTGTGGCTGAAACACCTGAACTCAATAATTAGCAGAGGCGTCCAAATACTTTTGTCCATATAGTGCATTTATTACATTAAACTACTCAGGCGTCATAAGAGGACTTGGGAATGTGTGATATGGGCCCTTTAACACAGCAGAAAGTGATCTCACGCTGAGGTGTGTGTAGTCTTTGTCAGGAACAAGTGAAAGGTTTATTCAGAGCTATGATTACAGTGCTCAATAATTCAACAGCTACACAACATTTGTCGCCCTCGTGTGGCACTACTGAGGGAGTCCTGGTAGTGACCATCTTTAGTTCTTTATCTGGAAATGCATTAAAAGTCCTAACAGCTTTTAACTCTGTATTGCTCTGAAAAGGTGTGGAAAAGGCCTCTTTAGCTTGGTGCAGGGCCCCGTCCTGAGATACTGGTTAAAGCCAGCTAAACCCGTGATGAGGGTGCTCAGGCGTTAATGTGTGTGTGCGGATCCAGACGCCTTCAGCGTAGTTTCACAGCAAACCAATCGAGAGGAGGCAAAACAGTCGGTCCTCTCAAGTCTGAACACAGCGCTTCAGGGCAAAAAGGGAGCCCACATTCTTCATGGTCAGCATTTGTCGAATGCGAACAACGGGGCTGTGTCGCTTGGCTTAGATTGTTTTCCCATGCCGAATGATACCTGAGGAGAAATCTCCGAGACACAGCCCTCCTAATCAGCGTTACCTGTGTCGGTGCCATACTAGCTGGTTTAGCTAGCCAGCTCCATCAGCTACAGCTGGCAGCGGCGAACAAAGAAGAAGAAGCTAAAAAACAAGGTTTTGAGCAGCTTTGCTTTCGCTTAACGTCTGCCTAGCGTTTGAGGAGAAAGTGGGCACACCAGAAACTGTCATGATGTTTCCACAATCCAGGCACTCAGTAAGTGTTTTGCTCGTTTTTCTTCGCCGTGTACTTACAACTAGCAGGATGACATTAGCATACGAAGCTAGTCCGCTAACCCGCCTCGTCCCTCATAGAGCTCCGCTAGCTGACGCTGCTTTCCAGACAAAACTTGTGAGCCTTTATCATTTTATTCTGTACATGTTACAGCTGTTATGTACGGCTGGCTATCCAGCTGTCTCTCTGACTAAGTATGTGGGATCTTTTTTAGTGAAAAATGAGTCGTGTTTAGAGCTGTGGTGAGCGATTTTTTTTGAAACCATTTTGTTTACATCAGCATAGTAACTTAACCTAATGCAGAATTCAGTGCAGAGTAGAGAGCAAAACCTTTTAGTCCAAAGATTTCAGACTCTCTGGAACTTTATTTTAGCCAGTTGTGAGCCCAAAATAGCTAGTTTTATTTTATATTTGCTTGCTTTTTGTTCACAGGCAGTCGTATATAGGCCAGGTAACGTTAGAGTTTCATAAGACATTGGTACAGTTTATATAATGAACTGATAAAGCTAGTTAAAATAACACCTCCAGCTTTTTGCTCACGAATTTGGGGCAAGTTCTGATGTAGAGTACACTATTTTGCTCCACTAATACAGCTCTAAATGAACTGAACCTCGTGTAATATTTCCTTATGTTATAAAAGCAGTCATTGTCTTTATTAGTAGTCCTCCCAGCTGGGATTGAAACCTTTACTTTCTAATTGGAATTAGCTTATTAGTTATCATTAGAGACCACTGGTTACTAGTTTACTGTCAAACGCATTTGGATTTAGTATCAGAAGACATTGTGAAACTATTATAAGCCTTTACACTGTGATATCAACCCATCAGAAAAGCACAAAATACCATAACTGACTATTGGACCCAACCAAGAACCAGATGAACATAGTTGGAGTAATATAGCTGTAGACTTTTAACAGTGAGTCACTGATTGAGAGTAACCTGTATGATGTGCCACTTTTGGCACTGTTTTGATAAACATACCACTTATTCTACACCTTCGTAATTTATAGCCTACATATAATGTGTTGTAACCCTCTCAAATGTGTTACTAGGAGTGCGCGAAATGGCGAAAATGTAACATCACCATCGTAGAAGACATTTTAAGGTTTGTTCAGTTGAAACAGACAAAAAAGTATGAGCACTGCTACATTTAAAAAGCTTTGTCCAGTTAAATAGTTAAACAGGTGTAATTATGCACTCTTGAATCAATCAGTTGAAGCAGTTTGTCATTGTAATTGTTTTTGCTGTACGATATCCACCGTATGTTCAGAAAAGCTTGTTGTGATGTAATTTCAAAAAAAAAAAAAAAATCACAGTGACAAACAAGTATCATCACACTGTTCGAAACAAAGGTGCTGTGCAGGTACATTTTTCATTCATCAAGGTACAAACAATGTAAATGTTCCTTCAAAGGTACAACAGTGGTTTTAAGGTCCAATCGTGAACCTTAAATAAGTTTTTCCATGTGAAAAGTACTTATTTGTACATTTTCATAAGCTAACATTTTAAAACAGAACAATAAAAAAAGCCTGGAGACGAGACGGGGTGTGTGGAGTCAATACAACTTAAACAATATAGTTTCAACGGATTATGGTACAGTTATGTTCCCTGACTCAAGGTACTGAGATGTACCCTTTAGGGTCCCACCCCAGTGACAGTTTACTACCTTTATTTCTGAGAGTGCATGTTGCCCAACCCTGTCTGTTACCTTCTGGGAGAGGTTGATTGATTTTCACTTCAAAGAGGATAATTTTGTTGCAAATTTGTATTACAGCAATTGTGTTGAAACTTCTTGCGCAGGTTCAGAAAAATAACATGAGATCATATTAACAGATCACAGACACTCTTAGTGCGCAGCAATTGCCATTTTTGAAAACCTCCCAGTGTAGTTTGATAATACATCAGGCAGCCCTAATACAGTTACAGCTTTTAGTGCTTTATTTCTTCAGTGAGGGTTTAAGTGGCAGGAACACAGCAGGTGCACTACAGTAATGAAAGTCAGGGCAGCGTGTGGAACATCCTCAGACATTAGGATTCGTATTAGTGCGGGTACAGAAAAGAAATCCGCTTTATTTTCTTGTTCTTGTCTTTGAGTTCTGTGAAAGGTTAGGAAGGGCCGAGAGAATAAATAGCAGAAGTGCAGCTAAACCAGTGATCTTTGCAACCCAGAGGTTTGAAGCATGCTAGACGTTTCCCCTCTGTTGTGTCTGATACATTAAAGAGCTCAGTTATTTGAGGGGGTGGGCATATCCTACATGTTTTTTTATTTTTAAACGTGTTCTCACTTTGCTTGAAGTCTATTTATGATATTTGTGTACCAAAAATAGCCAGAATTCATTTTTACATTACCATTAAACAGGCTGCTTTTGTTAATATGCCTTTAAGACTGATGTGAGTAAATGCAGCTGTAAGATTGGCTGTCTTGTGTTGTGCAAAAGCAGTCCGGCTGACACTTCATATAACTTTAGTGTAAATGGGGCGGGGCTGAACTGCTGTGAGTTGAGTAAGTGGACATATGTAAATGTATTGGTTTCCATGAAATCACAAACAGTGCATTCACACCAGGCAGTTTTAGCCGCTTACTTTTCACCAGACTGACCGAATGGACTGGAAAGCGAGTGGGACTCTCTATGTTTAGAGATGTTTATATACTACATGCAAATCTTTAATTAAAAAAAAAAACAAAAAACAGAGGAACATTTTTGGTTTCATATTATGTGAGCGTCCTGACCAATCACAAATGTTCTTTAGGTGTTGCAATGAATGTGAAGTAACTCACATGGTCCACAAGAGCTGGGCAATATAATATTTATCATAATCGTGATAAGTTACATCACAATATCTCTTAATATTCTTTTCTGAGAATATTGTGGATACCATCAGTTTATAAAAAAGCACTTCCCAACTGCTTGTTTGATTACACAGAGACCATAATTAGTTCTGTTTTGTTTGATTTAGTGTAGTGCAGTATGTAAAATGTTATAAATCACTTAGTGTGTTTACATGCACTTAATAATCTGATAACTGCAGAAAATCAGATATTGTCAGAAATCCGATCAACCTGTTTATATGCACTTCAGTAATCAGAAAAAGGCGGAAACTCCGGGTCTACATGAGTCGGGCAGTAATCAGATTTCTGCTTTTCAACCAGCCAATAAACTCCCAGAAGAAGATGTGACGTAAACGTAATGTAAAGCTCAAACTTCTTAGCACGTTTTTTTAAACATATTGCCACCTGAAAATATGAACATACAACATCTAGAAAATGAAGAATATTTAAATCCTTCATTTTGTCGATGATGTGTTTTGTTTCAGCGTTGCTCCAAAAGTGTTTTGCTGCCGTCTTGCGGCAGCACTGCTCGCTTATTTCCGCAGTCTGTTTTGCACATGCGCAGACTGAGAAATCAGAAAGAAATCCAGGTAAGAGTTTACATTCACTGAGACATCTGATTACTGAGCTGAAATCCTAGATCGGAGTATGGTGTGTACATGACCATTTGAAAAATCAGATAACTGCAGAAATTCGATTATGATCGGATTACTGAGTGCATGTAAATGCATTGTATTTGTAGTCTTGGATAGTATTTTTTAAATGTTGAACTTTTTCTGTTCCAAATTGTCAGATGTAAGAAAATAATATATATCATTGCGTCATGTATTGTGAAAAATTCTTAAGCATCATGATATTACTTTTTTGCCACATTCTCAGTCTCTGTGGTCCATAAATAAATAGAGGCAAAAACAATTAAATTTGGTCCAATACAATGAAGACTAGTCTTCAATCACTGTTTCAGTTCAAAGTATAGGAAGGAACAGTCACAATATGTAGCATTGTAACTGTAATATGATATACTGTCCATATCAACTGCTGCCTTTATTCCTCCTCTCCATTTCCATTCCTAGAGTGAAATTTAGCTCCATTTGAAAAGTTCATCAGAGTAATTTTTGACTTATATTTTGTGTTTATCATAAAACCATATCACGACGAGACATCACAGTATTATTGAGCCCCAGCTAAGTCAGACTTTACCTCACTCGTTTGCTCATTAAGGTGGTTAGTTCTGCTCATTATCTGATGATCTCTGTGATGCCGACTGCTACCCGCTAGGCTTAATTCAGCCACCGAACTGAATGTTTGTTCTCTTTGTCTTGCCTAATGATTGGCAACACAGGTCATTGTGCTTTCAAAGCATGAGGCGAACTCCTGTGACCTGCTCCTGCGTTGATTTATTACAGTGCAGTGGCTAATAAGGCGTTCTCGGTGATAATGCAGCAGATATTCCGCTCTGTGGTAATGCAGAACTCCACAGTAAACTAATTGCAGTGAATTGAACGTGTGATGCATTATGCAGCTGTGGTTATGAATTGTGATTGAGTGATTTTCGCCTTTCGGTGACAGCGTCTCTGTGGAAATGCCTGTAGTTTGTCAGACGGCGTGAACGCCCATGGTTTTTCCTGATGATCACTGAACGCAGCTGTAACGTCTGCCATTGTCAGAACACTAACAGCTCACACAAGTGCATGCAGACGATAACCCATTGGATCAAACCAAGAGTTCTAGAGAAGACTAGTCCATTTAAAGTCAACCTGAAATCAAATTTGGCCTTTTATGACCTTGTTAGCTCATGTTCTTGGTCATATTAAGTGCAATTCATCATACTGTACCATTTAAAAGGCCAAATTTTAGTTTTTTCTGTAGTCTTCCTTCGAAGTGGCACTAAGGCATCTAACTTTTTTATGGCACCATGCACAAGCAGTTGGGAGAAATAATATTAACCAGTAATATCATGTTTCACCTCCTGCTTCTGATGGTGCGTATTTCTCTTGGAAATACATCATGAGATGGAAGGAGAATGTTTTATGATTTCCAATTTATTTTGACTTTAAAATATATCACAGAGAGTTGTATTGAATACTAGTCCATTTATAGTCCCATTTACAAGCATTTATAGCATAGCCTGACTTACTTCAGTGTAAAACACA